AAAACGATTTTTTTATCCGCTATACATTGTTAAAATCCGCTAGATCTAGCGAGAAAGTCGCTAAAACGGCAACACGAGATGAGCGCAACAAGGTCGCACGCAAGGCTATGATGAAACGGAATAATAAAAAAGTTATTACGTTTCTTAAGATTCTGCAAACAGAGCCATGTTTGTGGGATCCTTGACTCAAATATTTTAAGAATCGTACGGCGCAAACTGATATATTGCGACGAATTATCCAATTATTATCTTTTAATATAACTATCGAAGAATTAGAAAGCTGAAGGAAACCTAATGGGTTTTTATAGAACCATTTTTAACAAATATAAAAAGTCTTCAAGGAACATTAACGCCAACTTTAATGCCGTTCAATGGCATTGAAATTTAATGACGTGGAGCGTTCAAGCAGGGTAATTTTATCTATAAATATTACCGTGGTTCAAGTGTAGACAACTTTATCGCGTTACATTTGTTTGTTTATAGGCATTGATGTTTCCCGTTGCCCCTGCCTGACCCTAATCTAAATTTATAATATTAGAATACGGGTGTTTTTATTTTATTTTGTCCATGAAGGAAAATAGAACATTCATTTTAAAAAATATTTAAGACAAATACAAATTAATAAGTTGATAAATAATGAATATTGAAATGCAAGATAAAACAAGATTGCATTTCAATAGTAATCGATACTTCGATGGCTAAACTTATCAAAATTACATAATAAATAAATTCATAAGTCCTACTCCTTTTCAAACAACTAAAAAATAATATAAATTTTTAGTTTGTATAAAATTATAAATTTCTGAAAGGTAGAGATTTAAAAATAATATAATAAATCAAAAACACATTTTATTTTCAATTATTTAGGAAAATTATCACTACGTTTTTGGCACCCAACCATGTCCTGTAAAATTTTATAATGCATTTTTTTTACTAATCTAAAATAACCATTTATATAATAAACATTTTCTAATAAACTCGTATGAGCGCTGTCCTTCAATCGTGCGTTTGTTTGATGGAATCACAGAGTACTTTTTATATACCTGGAACCTCTACCTCCACCAAGTCAATTTTATACAATACCTGTATACAATATTATATCAACCTGTAATACTGTCTGAAAAATAATAAATAGTATTTAACAACTTAATAAGCAATGGAAAAAGCCGTACGTGGATTATGTAATAATTTTAACATGGTAGAGCCACGCTGCAGCTGTAATATGGTTGTAGTACGATTGCGTCGGCTCGATCAGGGTAAAACCGCTCCTTCACGGAATACCAGCAAAAATAACAGCCTAATTCTGCTGTTTCGTATGACGAGTGTACATAAACGCAGACCCTTTTTACTACTAGAAACGAGGCATTCCATCTTAGTCCTCACGGGTGACAATGCATATGCATTTTGATTCGTAATTTTTTTTTCTTTTATAAGATGGGTTGACAAACGAGCACACAGTCCACCTGATGGTAAGTGGTTGCTGTGGCCCATAGACATCTAAATTTATCTTCGATTACGAATCAAAATGCAGATGCATTGTCACCCGTGAGGACTAAGATGGAATGCCTCATTTCCAGTAAAAAAGGTCTCCGGTTCTCTACACTCACCATACGAAACACAACAGCATCAAGCTACCATTTTACGCTGGTATTCTGTGAAAGTGTGGTCCTTTACCGGTCGAGCCGACCCATTCGTGCTACAACTATACTTACTACTAATATAACTGCAGCATGGCTCTACCAAGTACAAAAAAATTTTACCATCAGGTGGACCGTGTGCTCGTATGTCGCCCCTATCCTATAAAAAACTATATCTGCAACTTAGTTTTAGTGATTGATTGTCACAGTGGTTTTTAGCAGGAGCTAAATGCTTTTGAAGTTTTGCGCTGTATTGACAGGACCCTAAGAGACTGTCACTTTTTCTTCTGGTTCTAAAATCAGGCTCATTGAAAGTCATTTTATAAAATTAATGCAAAATCAAAATCATGATGTGCAGTCAAATCTGGCAACTTTACCAATGGAAGTTAACTTTGCCATCAGGGACGTACAGTCGTACAGGTACAAAATTACGATTAACACGGACAACGTAACATTTTGCGAGATACGTATGGCATTTTTAGGTGAAATTTTTAAGAACTAATTGACAGTTGTTTTCGCTACGAAAACATGAGAGTTAATTTTGGAATTTTATTTTAACGCGGAATTGTTCCGGCCACGTAACTTTCTAGTTCAGTACTCCAGAACTTTTGTTGATTTTGTTTGAAATACTCAATGCAGAACTCTGCTACTACGTATTATCTTTGTATTAACACCTAATCTTAATGGTTAGGAAATGTAATATTTAGTTTTTAACATGGTGGTCTTAAAATTTATCTATAAAACAACTTGGCGCATTTACCATACCAATAGTGTTACGTTGTGACGATTACTTTGCCACGTTTTGCTACAACCAGTGTTGTCACTTTTAACGAATGTTTTAGCCGATTACGGTGATGCAAAGAAAGGGTTCTGTACTCGACATTCTATGTATGTGTGTTTGTATAGATTTTTCATCGTAGTAGCTGTTAGAACTATTTCACCAAATGAGTTGTCAATCAATTCGTCTTTATCAAAAGTGAAGGAAAAGAAAAGAGAAATCTATATTATTTTTACTGCTTTGTCGGTTAATAATATTATTACTGCTCAGTATTTTTAATATTTTCAACTTGTGCTACAACAAGTGTATAGATATTAATTTCCACCCGAAAACAGTGTTATTTCAATGATAATTACCTAATGTTTTTGCTACTGTAGGAAAACAACGTTTAGGTTGGATGCAATTATTTTTTTACCGGATCATAGTTAAATCATAATGATGACAAATAAAAGTACGAAAAGCTTGTAAAATAATTGTGACAAGTTTTACTTTTGATTCATAATTGATTAAAGCTTATTATTGCACATTGAGTAAAAGAGAGTAGAGAGAGTGAAAGAATAATATAGAAAGATATAGAAGATATATAGAAGAGAGATATAAGATATAGAAGAGAGTATTTTTATTTTTATATTTTAGATTTTTGCTTAAGAATTTATTGTCACAAGATTTAAATAAAAAAATAAGTAAAGTACCTACCTACGTAATCAAAGATTTTGATAACCCTTACACATATTTTCAAGTTTGTATTAAAAATTTAACAATGGGGAAGCAACTTTGTAACTAGCGTAAACTTTATTACTTGCAACACGATTATAGGAGCAAATCAAACTCTGAGTGTTATTTATATGTATATCATATTGAATCCTTACATATGAAATTAGCGATTTGTCGTACTGACCACTTTGATCTGAAATATCTCCTCTTTGGTTCAGAATTCCAAACTCAAATTTATAAATACATTTAGCTGGTACATTTGAGTTTTGAAAACAGTCATTCATTTGTTTTTTCCTCATTATTTTTTTCTTTGGCGTCGCTTATTACCCGCACAATGGAAAACACGAAATATCGGTATACGAGTTCTACAGTGGCACAGCTCGAAGGATTAATTATGTTTACGGCGTTGGTGTCGCAAAAGAAAGCACAGTACGTTTTTGGTTTCAACGTTTTCGTTCTGGAAATTTCGACCTCCAGAACCGACCCCGTGGACGGCCGGAGACCAAAGTGGAAAATGAAGAATTAAAGGCTATTGTGGAAGCGGATCCATCACAAAGCACTTCAGAGATATCTGCAGGCTTCGGGCTAAGTGATAAAACTGTATTAATCCACTTGAAGCAAATCGGGAAAGTAAAAAAACTTGAACGATGGGTACCTCATGAATTAAGTGAACTTGTAAACACGCGTCGACTGCTGTGTTACTTTGCTCAACCGACACAAAAATGAAGGGATTTTAAATCGAATCATTACTTGTGATGAAAGATGGATACTCTACGATAATTAGAAGCGCTCGTCGCAATGCTGAACCCTGGAGACCCAGCCAAATCCTGCCCTAAACGAAAATGTACTCCGAAAAAGGTTACCTGTGAGTGTTTGATGGACTAGTGCCTTCTAAAATCTGGCCAAACGATTACGGCAGATATTTATTGTCAGCAACTGCAAACCATGGAGGAAGAACTAGCTGCTAAACACCGAGATTGGTCAAACGCTCTAGGCCACTGCTGCTTCACGACAACGCAAGACCACACACTGCACAACAAACAACCACTAAGTTACATAGCTACAATTGGAATGTCTGCGATATCCACCGTACTCCCCGGACCTTGCTCCAACTGATTACCATTTTTCTGGAATTTGGACAACTTCTTACAAGGAAAAAATGCAACACCGAAGCGACAGTCCAAACCACCTTCAAAGAGTTTATTGATTCTCGCCCCCATGGTTTTTTTTTAGTAAAGGGATCAATGAACTACCTATGAGATGGCAAAAGTGTATAGATAACAACGGTGCATACTTTGATTAATTAAATATATTTTACAAAAAAAAATACTTTATATTCCTCCCGTACAAAACGCCAATTTCATATATCCTTACCTTCATCCTTGAAGTTAAATTCTATTATTTTCATTAAAAACCCTGATGGCAAAGTTGCCACAAAGCAAAGTTAACTTTGCTATTTTCTATTTTTGAGTATTTTGTCTATTTAATAACTAATAAATGGAGCAGGGTTCTTAGGTTCAACGTCTTAATAGTCTCCATGATGTTTCGTTAAATTTTTCATGTTGCACATGTCCCTACCCTGCGTAGGCCTGGTATGCCCCTACGCACTTGGTCTGACGTAATTTTATGTAATATTATCCGATAAAATCTAAATTTAATTTTAAGTACCTACCTCCAGAAATATTTTTAAGAGCATCACTACGAACGTTACTGATCATAAATAGATAATAATAGGTCTTTATATATGAATAATGATGATAATTATTGTAATCATGACAATAATGTGGGTTTTAGACACAATGGTACAGATATAAATAAAAATTATTATTTAAAAGTTTAACCAGTATTAAAGTGAATAATCAAGAGGCAAGATGTCAATTTTTATATTGGTACAATGTTTCTGTTTCATCAGCGCAACTATGGTAAGTTTTTTAATAATACTTTTGCAGTAGATGCTGCATTCGTTGATAAAAATTAAAAATCAAACACTCTTTGGAGCGTCACATCTCGATAATGAAAGAAAGGTGTCTGAAGATATACTTTAATAGAATATGTGTATTGTGTGGGTATGTCTGCAAAGGCGAAACAATAGCCATTTGGCCCATTTACGATTTCTAACATAAAATAATCATACATAATGAAAAACCTAATGAGACAGTAAATAAAAAAAATCCCTAGCTTTCCAGATAATGGCAGATAAGCACTCCACCGCGCCGTTAGCGATTACTCAGCACTATAAAGCTAGCAGTGAAAAGTCAGCAGAAATCTCAAAATTGTGCACACGAATTTGTAGATAATTTGTTGCTCCAACCAGTTTCGAAAAAATCGACTGCTATCCTAACATTAAGATAGCAGTAAAACTTTAAATCTACTTGACGAAGCGGATAAAACGGAAGACTTTGTTGCGAATTTGTTGCTGGAATAAAGTGCAGAGTAAGAAAAAATTCAAATAAAAATCTTTTTTTGAGTAAAAAAAATTCTAGAAATCAAGTTATGTTCTAACACTGATTCTGAAGTTCCAAATTATATAGTATTTTGCTGCTGATCAGTAAATAGATCAATATCTCCAACAATATAAAATCGAACGATAAGCTGCACCAAGTAGTAAGCTGCTAATTATATGTTTAAAGTACGTGAGGGTAATATGATCACTGTAACTCAAAAACTACAGTCTTATTTGCATGGAAGGCTTTGATACGATAGCTCTTAATCAGTCAATCAAATAATAAAGAGTCAAAAGAACGCAGCTTTTAACAGTTGATATTATGGTAAATATTTTAGTCGATTTTAGTATGGCGTATTGTAGTTAGTTTTTATTAAGTTGATTTATGAAGTATTCCTAATTATTGCCAAAGCTTATTTGCTATTTTTTAGGGTTCCGTAGTCAACTAAGAACCCTTATAGTTTCGCCATGTCTGCCTGTCCGTCTGTCCGTCCTCGCTTAATCTCTGTGACCGTTAGCACTAGAAAGCTGAAATTTGGTACCAATATGTGTATCAATCACGCCGACAAAAAAATAAAAATTGGAAAAAAATGTTTTATTAGGGTAGCCCCCCTATGTAATATGTAAAGTTGGAAGTGATTTTTTTTTTAATTTCAACCCTAACGTGTGATATATTGTTGGAAAGGTATTCAAAAATGAATAGGGGTTTACTTTACTAAAATCATTTTGATAATGTCAATAATTTCGGAAATAAACGCTCCAAAAGTAAAAAAAAATGTGTCCCCCCCTCTAACTTTTGAACCATAAGTTTAGAAAATATGAAAAAATCTGAAAAGTAGATATTTTTATAAGGATTTTCTAGGAAAATAATTTTGAACTTGGATGGAATCAACAGTACCCACTACCGGGAGCAGTTGCAGGAGCGCGGAGCGCTGACATAATGGATACCCACCTTTAAACTCATAAGTGGGAACACTTATTGTGACGTACGGGAAACTACGGAACCCGACACTGAGCGTGGCCCGACACGCTCTTGGCCGGTTTTTTTTTAAATTAATATAATTATTATAGTATACGACTTTGTTTTTGTATCTAACCTTCTCATAGTTTTGGTTTTATAGGGCGGCAAAGCTTAAAGTGACCATATTACCCTCATGGTAGAGCGTCGATTATCCGAACTAATTGGAGGACATGGGTGTTCGGATAATCAGTATTTTCGGATAATCAAACTATGTACCTATATGTCATACTTACATATTTACGTACAAGTAAAAGAAAACCAATTTTACATTTATATCTTTAATGACAAATACGAATTAAACAAAAAATGCAGACAATCTTGTTGTAAAACATCTGCCGCAGCAAACCTACCCGCTTACGAGCAGCTAAGTCACGTACTTTTTTAATGACAGATATTTGATACTGGTTGCTTTCAGCCTGTATTTCAAACCAACGCAAGGCATTATGTTTTCATCTTCATTATCTGAACTTGTAATTGATGAGGTGCTAGCGGTGGCAACAGCCTTATTAGTCATGAGGTCTAAAATTTCGCTATCCTGCATAATTTTGTACCCGGGATCTTCATCGTCGATATCCATTCATTGTTGAACCGCTTCTTCATCACATTCGTGGCAATCGAGGTTTTTTAGCATATCTATCATTTCAGATATATCTTCCTGTTTCTCATTTTCACATCCGCTTTGAGGATTTTCCCCTATACACAAAACTTTATTCCACGCTTTTTTTAAGGTCTGCTCTTTTACACTTTCCCATGCTACTCTGATCATGTAGGATGCGTCTTTTTAAATCAATCTTTTTATGATTTCTTATCAGGCTTTCTTCTCCCTCCTCACCTTTTTCCAAAAGTAACTTACGTAACAATTATTTTCTATAATACCGTTTGAACGTCTCAATAACGCCTTGATCCATGGGCTGTAATAATGAAGTCACGTTAGGTGGAAGAAACATGACTGTTATAAACTCGTCTTTTTCATTTAAGATGTCAATGATGGATGAGTTGGGGCGTTATCAAGAAGCAATAATGTTTTCTCCCTTTTACCATTTTTTAATTGATGGGCTTTTACAGAGGGCATAAAAGTTTCTGTAAACCATTCCATGAAAATTGTACTATCCATCCAAGAATTCTTTTGCGAAGTGTAAATGATAGGCATCGCGGACATATTAACGTGTTTGAAACAACGTGGTTTCTTGCTTTTACCAATTACAAGCATGGGCAATCGGTAGCTGTCGGTAGCATTAGCACATGCTAAGGCAGTGATACGATCCTTGCTTATTTTAGGACTAGGCGCTGCTAATTCACGACGTGAAGCAAGAGTTTTTCGAGGCAAAGCTTTCCGATTGAGCCCGGTCTCATCTGCATTGTAAGCGTTTTCGAGGGCGTAATTTTCTTCCTTCAGTATACCTCTTAGTTTGATTTTGAATGAATCTGCTGCAGATGAATCAGCAGATAGTTTTTCTCCTTGTATTTTTAGCTCACGAATGCCGTGTCTTGACTTAAATCGTTTTAACCAGCCTATGTTTGCTTGAAAATTTGACGGCCCTCCAAGTTTTTCGTTTAATTGAACTGCTTTTTCACACAGAATTGGGCCTGAAATAGGTTCTACCTGGGATCGTTTTTGAGTAAACCACTTATATACAGCTTCATCTAAATTCGTGTTTGAGGCAAGTTTCATCGTTTTACGACTCGTGGATCCGTCAGAAGAATCAAGCTGGGATATAAAGTTACTTATGCTCGTCTTTTGTTTTTTTTTTATATCCGTAATGGTAGACTTACCAACTTAGTATTCATTGGATAGCTTGGTTGCAGATTCGCCTTCCTCTAACCGTTTATTAATCTCGTATTTATCTTTCATAGAAAGGACAACATGTTTACGTTTAGGCATTTTAAACCGCAAGTTTACTTTCAAGTGGCAAAATTTAGTTTATCGACTAGCGGTTACTTGGAATTGGGTTTAATGGTCTAAGCTTGGAAGTGACATATAAGTACAATTAATAACAAGTCAACAACTCGCGACAAGTACTCGAGTACTGTAGGTGTAGCGGTAGCGCGGGAGGCGAGAGAGAGGCACGCGCGGGTCGGGCGGGGGCCGGGCGTAGTAGTTCGGATAAGCGGTCGTTCGGGCGAAGTTCGGATAATCCACGCTCTACTGTACCTACATACTATTTTTGCATGATATATTTTAAAAGGAAAAAGAAAGCAGATATTTTGTTGCTGGTCAGTAATGTAACCAGCAAATTATAAAGAGCCAGCAAAAAAATAAAATCGATCGATAAGCTGCACCAAGTAATAACCTATTAATTTTATGTGTACAAGCTATTTGTAAAAGAAAAGTTTTAGGAAAAAAATAGATCGATAATATGCATCAAGTAATAATTGATTGTGCTACATTTATAGGATATTTTTGTGTAAAAAGACAGTCAGTAGTGGAATCAGCAAGATATGACGAGCCAGCAACAAAATAAAGTTGATCGATAAGCTGTAACAAGTAATAAGTTATTAATTTATGTGTACATGCTATCTACTTCTTACAGGAGATATTAGGAAAAATTTTATTAGACCGCAACAAAAGCAAAAGAATATTGACCAGCAGCAAAATACTCGTTAATTTCGAACTTCAAAATCAATGTTATAGAACATTGATTTTGAAGTATAGGTTGATTTCTAGTAATTTTTCATTTAAAAATAATATTTTTATTTGATTTTTTTCATATTTTTTGCACTTTAGTCCAGCAACAAATTCGCAACAAAGTCTTCCGTTTTGTCAGCTACGTCCGAGATGATTTAAATTTTTTACTGATATCTTAATGTGAAGATAGTATCTAGTAATTCGATTTTCTCAAAACTCGTTGGAGCAACAAAATCGCGATTTTGACATCAAATTAGCTACAATTTTAAAGTTTCTGCTGACTTTTCACGGCTGGATTTTATAAGGCTCGATTATTCAGCATCTCGGAACGTGGAATAGACGCCAAAACTGATCAACTACTTCAGACACGTTACAACGCCGATATAGATCAACTCCAGACATATTACAGTGCTACAAAGAACTCGTCAAAGCTCAGAAGCTTTAAACTAATCTATTGAACATACAAACTGTGCATTTGCAAATATTAATAATGCAAATGGGTACCTAGTTAAAATGCACATAAATAATTCGTACTCACTATGACCCAACTTAAATGTTCCGGGTCTGGATATTTGTCCTTGTGAAATTTACGTTTGTAAACTGCCCCCACGATACAGGAGAAAATCCTAGTGTGGAGGTAATGTTTTTTTTTAATGTGTAATTTTGTAAATAACGTAAACGCGTTACGGCCTGGCCACGGGGATCGTCGGCGCGAACGGCGAAGCGACAGGCGGGGCGAAAATTCGCGCTGCGCGATTTGAGGGCCACGGGAAGTCACGTTTGCCGCCGCGACCAGATAGGCCGAGAGTGAAATGTCTTTATCAAAGTTATCTCGATATTGCTTAGAAAGTAATTGTTTTTTGATTCAAGACATAATATTTGGATGAGATTGCGGAGTACTTGATTTGAGTAGGAATCGGGTTATAGATGGAGAATTCCCCAACAAATAGAATGCATCTAGAAAAAAAATTCGAGTAAATACCAGAATGAGTGTTGAAACCTGCGATTATATTCTTGTTAATATTCAACCAGAATTGGAGATAAAAGTCAATGCGGATAGAATTTTAAGTTGTTTTGTCGGCCCTAAACAACTAAAATATTTTGTTCCTATACTATTCGCCGCGTCTGCGGCCGCGACTGCCGCCCGACTCCGTGCCTTGCACCGTACTTTTCAGTTTATACAAAGGTACTCTGTGACCGTACGGATTCATACATTTGTTTCATTCGCCCGCCGCGCCGTCAGTCGCCCGCGCGATTCGCCCGGTAAATTTCGCCGGTCGCGTCGCCACTCGCCACTCGCCGCTACGCGTGGCATGCTTCATACATTTCTATACATTTGTTTTAGTCGCTAGACGCCTCGCCGTTCGCGCCGCGCGAATTTTCGCTACGGCGAATGTCCCGTGGCCAGGCTGTTAGACCGTTTCGAACAGAAGCAATTCTTTTCGCTACATAATCCAAACCCTGTGTTCATAATCGAACTGGAATTAAATTGACAATACTAATTGCACAATTTTAGGCCTAGGTATTCCTCGATTTTGTGATGCTTTGATAGTTTCCAACGTGTTTTGCATGCGCATTCAACTTTAAGATATTGTTGATCCTTTCAGCAGTTTTTAGGTACTAAAGCATATTAAAACCCTTGGTAAAGAGTTCCACTTAACAAAGACAAAATTTTAATAAAATTCCTTGCTCATTGCCTTATTAAATGGCAATAAATTAAAACTCAATTGCTACAAATTTTTGAATTAAATATTGAGACTGCCGAAATTATAAAGCAACCTTTATAGACTTAAATAATCGATAATTCTGAGGTCGTAAGGAACTTATTTATTTTTTTTATTTAATTTAATATCCAGGTGATAAGATTGGCGCAAAATAAGATCCAATTAGTATGTACCTATATACATGTTTTATATATATATATATATCATAACATTTAAAATTTATTCTTAACACAGGCCGGATCAGCGGCGGAGGTAAAAGAATTATTTCTACAACAAATCACTGAATGTAACAAGGAGCATCCTATAAATGCTGAGGAAATTAACATGCTACAAAAACACATAGTCCCCGAAAGCAAGACTGGTAGATGCCATTTAGCATGCCTTTTCAGAAAAACAAAATGGGTAAGATGAGTATTATGTTTAATTCAGCTGCCTATCCTATCCATTCACCAGATTAATAAGCTAATAGAAAATAACTATAAAAATCAATGAGGATCACATAATATAGGTACACTATATTTGACGTTAAATTTCTCGAATATTTTAGCGCTTTTCGAATTTCCCACTTTGCTCATGAATACTTAAGGACATCGACAGGGGACGTGGGGGGGGGGGAGCTGCCCCCTCTACAGACTAAAAAAATGTAGTCAAATACAAAGCAACCAGTCTTATTTATTATACCGCCAAGAGCTCGTGGAGCTTAACAAATTGGAATGTGTACTGTTCCTATTACAATCGCCTTCGAGGTTAAGGTTAAGATCTACAGAAACTTTGAATTAGTTCAGACTTTACTTTCGAGCTAAGACAATGTCGGTATTTATAGAGCTAACTCACGAACGACGAAAGCTTGTGTCAACGAAACCGTCAATTTACGAAAAACACAGGATATATAGAAAAAAAAATAGCATTAGAAATAAGAAAATAAAAATAAATTACTTTAAAAATAAATCGGTAAATGAGTAAAATAGGTTTTGTTTTACTAAAGTTTATTTCTTAATTATTTAGTTAAACTGTGCTATTATAGACTGCCGCAATGCTAGAGCTACAGTAGATGATGTTTCACTGTTTGGTCTTACTGGAGCTTTCAGGTGTTCGTTGTCACGATCATCATAAGCATCCCCTCTGTATACCTACCTGTGTTGTGCAGTACTGCACAAGCTATAATTATGTTGCTCGTATTAACAGTTAGCACAGAATAAATAAGTAAAGGGTTTTTCAACAAGAACTTTGTTTTCTAAAACAAAATAAAACAAAGAGTTTAGATGAAGATGATTCAAATTTTTATTGTATTACGAAGAGAAAAGTTTGGCAATTATGAATGAAAAATGATATCTGGCAAATGTCCACCACGACCACGCTGACAGATGTCGATTCTTTCATCAAAGTTTTTAATCACTTTTTGGCAAAATGGCGGGTCTATTTCGTTAATCAGGTCACGGATTTTGAGTTTTAAGGCCGCGATCGATTCGATTGGCTCCGTATAGACTCTGTCCTTAACATAGTCCCACAAAAAATAATCCAGTGGTGTTAAATCACACGATCTGGCTGGCCATTTAACAGCTGAATTTCGTGAAATTATGCGATCGGGAAATTTGGTTTGCAATAAATTGATCGTTTCGTTGGCTGTGTGACATGTGGCACCGTCCTGTTGAAACCACATGTTTGTGATATCGATGTCATCAATAATAGGCCAAAATTGAGATGTTAACATCTCGCGATAGCGTGATCCATTGACCGTTACCGCATTTCCGGCCTCATCTTCGAAAAAAAAACGGCCCAATCACGCCTCCAGACCACATAGCGCACCATACAGTGACACGTTGAGCATGCAAAGGCTTCTCAATAATCGCTTTAGAATTTTCAGAAGCCCAAATGCGGCAATTTTGCTTGTTGACGTACCCTGACAAGTGAAAATGGGCTTCGCCTGAAAAAATGAGTTTTTCAGAAAAACCAGCGGGCTGTTCCTGAATGAATTGAGCGAATCTACGGCGATGTGAATGGTCGGTCAGCTTCAATTCCTGCACCAGTTGAACCTTGTAAGGCTTCAAAGCCAAATCCTTACGCAAAATTCGCCATGTGGTGGTTTTGGATAACCCGAATTGTTGAGAACGTCGAGGAATTGACAAATTTGGATCTTCTTCAACACCGTGGCTCACGGCTGCGATGTTTTCGGTTGAACGAAGCTGTCAAACACGCGTTGGTATTGGCACATTTTGTACCAAGCCTGTCGATTCAAATTTAGCGACCAAATTCTTAATAGCGGTCTCAGAAGGACGATTATCTTGTCCGAAAATATCACGAATTTTACGAAACGTAACTTTAACAGAACCCCATTTTCATAGTGGTTTCATTTTAATTATTTTAATGCGATTTTCGAGCGAAATTGAATTCATTGTAGCAATTGCCAAAGCATCTACTACGAATAGGTCAAAAAACTAAATGTCAAAACTGTCATGTTGTTGGTGTTGCCCCAATTGAAAAACAAAGTTCTTGTTGAAAAACCCATTATTAGTGAGCTTAGAGCGTAGGCTCAACTGTAGACAATTTGAAGCATAAAACATTAATACAATAATTAATAATTAATTCATCAAATGCTCCAAATTGGCAATTTATAACGGTAATATTACATTTAAAACAGTGAGTTTAGTGAAACGATATCTTCTAAATTAATTTTTGTCATACAGCTCGAAAGAGTTGTATTCATTCAGAACATAGAATTTATTCATGCGCCGAAAATTGATGTCTGCTGAAGTTCCCTATCTATCTGTGATTTCTAAAGTAGTAGGAACTCTCTCTATATTCTCCATTATATCACACAGTCCTTAAACAAGCCTGGATTGCAGAAAAGTCTAAAGAATGTCGAGTCCAATATCCGGAAGCGTAACGCGAATAGGTAGTTGGTATATAGGTAGGATCGGGAGTCCAAGTTTCATACCCAGTCGCATTGATTTATAATAACTCAATGCCCAGTCGTAATAAAAAAAATCAGGCATTTAAAATATAAATAAAAACTTAAAATGCACACAATATCAATATAGTCCAGGAGGAATTTGCGCATGATTTCCGAAAACTATTCCACCTCAGTTTTTATAAGCGATTCTCTTCAATTTTCAAGCATCTTCATCATCAAAAAAAACATTCTACGCATAGTTAAGTTTAAAAAACCAAAAGAAGGAAATGTTGTGTTTATGCCATCATAAAAAAATAAGTAAAATAGCTTTTGTTGGTCAAACCTTTTCAAAAACATGGTTAGTTATTGTCCTTTCTTTTGACTTATTAATTATTGTTTACGCAGATGTCTCATCAAATCTTGGAAATATGGTGTACAAAGACGATATGGTGTAAAAAACGATTCTAGACGAATATTTTTAGTTTTTAACAGACCAATAAACAACATTTGTTAAGATAATTTATTTTTCATTTTCAAAATGTTGACCGCGATTTCTAGCACAAGCGCGAGCTCATTTTCTCACTTCTGTGGTCGTAATTTTAATTTTCATCTCCTGCTTCATTACTTGAAAAGTCGTATGAATTCTTCCCTATTAACTTCTCTGTGGTTAATATTTCCACATGCATTTAGACAAGCTCCTGGGACCTTACCCAAACTAGAAAATTCACAGGAATCAAATCAAGTGATCGTGGTGGTCAAGGCATGGGCCTGTCTCTCGAATCGAATCAGTCGAATCAGGTCTCTGGGAAACAATTACTTAACTGTTTTCGCACGTTTAGAACCCAATGCCCTGGACAACCATCTTGCTGAAAAATCATTGGACTCTCGTTGCGAATATTGGTATTTCGGCCTCATTCAGAAGCTCTAGGAGACCGTTTATGAGGAATTCCAGGTAATTATCTCCATTTAAATTATCTGGCAGGAATTGTGAACCAATGAACATTTGGCCGATTACTCCTGCCTGAACGTTTACTGAAACTTTCTTTTGAAACGACCCTTGCTTCTTCCAGTGTGGATTGCTCTCCTTGCCAGCCCATCAATCGATGGAGATTATGAAAGTTGGTGATTCCTCCTTGCGAAAACTTTGACTCATCTGTCCACAAGATGGATTTTAAAAATAACTGTCACTATTTAGCAAAAAGCGACAAAACTGATTCCTTCGTGGAGGATCTTCATTTTCTAAACCTTATACACCCGTGCCCTGAAAAGGATATTTGTTTTCTCCGTGCATAGTATTCCACACCTTACATACCGAAATGTTGAGATTATGAGCTACTGCTCTGACGCTCGTAGTAGGATCTACATCGGAAGCTGCAATAATATCTCCTCGACACTTGACCCATGTCTTCCTGGATTGACACCAGGTTTCGCATGATGGATTCTGACTTCAGCAAGCCGATGAAACGTGCTGTAAAATACTCTGACATTGGATAATCTTCGATTCGGATATCGCTCTTGGTACATCTGCCGTGCCAAAGATCCATTATCATCAGCTCTGTCATACATGAAGACGATAGCAGCATATTCATTAGTAAAAGCAGGCATACTTGATTGATCACACAAACAGTCGAAGAACAGTGGAAGGAGCACACAGCTAGGGCTAGACTCAATACAAAAAAAACATCCGAACTAAACACGAATTCGCAATTAAAACGTCTAGCCACAAGGGCAGTCGTTACTTGACTAACTGAGGATTCGAAGATGTGACGAACCCGCCCTACTACGCCCTAACATACATTAATTGAACAAGGACACGTACGGGGCCAATACGGGTTTCGAACCTGCTACACCGTTACGCCGCGATAACACGCTTAGCCTCTGCGCTATGAAGCCGTCTAATACTTAATTTTCGTCGTCTAATCATTATAGAAACATTCATTCACAGCCCATGAAAAAGTTAGAGCTATTATTAATTTCACTAATAAAACACAACCAAGTTCAACCATTGTTTTTGTACATTAACCATTTTTCTACATACAATTTTTAGATGGACGAAAAAGGAATGTTCGTGTTGGAAAATGCGGTTAAACTAGCAGAAGAAAAACACCCCAAAGACTCGGCAAAACTAGAAAATTCCAGGAATCTGTTCGAACTGTGCAAGAAAGGTTAATTAACGTCTTCATATTGTTACCAGCGTTTTTTAATACACCCATTCAATTGTTGCCAAAATTTTATCACAAACATAAATTTCACAGTAAACGAAGAGACTTTCAGTGATGGAGAAGAAGGCTGCGAAAGAGCTGCAAAGTTATCTACGTGCTTAACAGAGAACGCGAAAAAGGTAATGTTTATAATTATTAGCAACTATTTCCGTATGATGTCAGCCAACGTAAGGTATAAAATGAATATAGTTTATATGATGTAAGAAACTAAATTTTTTACCAGCTAATCTGTTTAGCAGTCAGCCATCGTAGTCTACTTCACCTGAGGATGCCTCGTGTCGTATTATCGATGATTGTGTGTCTTTCCTAGTGTCGAGGTGTTGGGAGTAGTGGCGCTGGGATAGTGCGCGCTAGGCACTATCCCAGCACCATATAGCACTAGGTAAGACACATTTTATTTTATTACGCGGATCGTGGCAAATAAGTTTTTAACATTATTAAATCCGCTACCGTTTCTAAAGGAACTTCTAACCCCATTTCGTCCTGTGTTACGTAAATAGAGCCTGAGGAAGGCCAGGAAGGCCTCTGATAAAAGGCACCAGCATCTTGTATATGACAAATGTAAATACTCAAACTGGCGACGTTGAGTAGCTTCAAAGGCGCAAAACGTGGCACTGCGGTCGGCAATCGGCCATCGGCTTGTTACGTATGGCGCTTATAGCAAATATTTTCTACCATTAGAGGTTCATGTCCAGGTGAACACTGTTCACTTTCAATACAACATATTTAAAGTCCATGGCTGAATATATTCCTCGCTCTAAAGGTCTAGTTGGCACTGTTGAAACGCTTGGCAGGCGTATTGGAGGCTGCAGTGTCTTACAAATTTTTGTCAGAAAGATGCTGCAACCTACCTCTTGTTTTGTCCCTCTTTAGCCTCTTACGACACTCGCGAGATATTTTTAAGTGGATTCACTTGCACTGCCACTACACGGTACGCTGTCACGGGCTAATAATAATACTCTCCAGTCTTTCCATCGTTCAGTTGTCTGTTCTTCGAGCCATATGGCCGGGCCGGTCTATTCCCACATCAGCTTACTGCTCCATTGGGCTATGTCGGTTATTTTGGTTCTACTGGGGATATCCTAATTACAAAGTCTATCACGCAGAGAAACTTTGGAGTTAAATCCAGACGCTGAGCGACCTTGAGTTTCCTCATACAACCAAATGTGAAGGATCAATTCTCAGATGCACGTGTCCTCACTGGGAAAACGCAATTATAAAATAGTTATAAAAATGCTTATTACAAGTCTCAACATCCACATATTACTTTCATCCGACGTTATAAAAATTTAATCAATTTCTGTAAATAACTAACAATCCATTTGGTTAACAGTCATTAAAGCTACGCTAGCCTGTAGACACCTGCACCAAATTTCATAAGACTACATGTACAATGTTACATCTAGGACTAAGATGGAAGGGCTCACAGCTTGTAACTATAGTGCCCCTTCGTGTCCTTTAAACCGAAACTTTAAACAGAAGAGCGTAGTATCTACCAAGACGACCAACTGTGAGCTTCCACGAGTTATGATATTTACGACGAGCCTCCAGTCTCTGAACTACCAGCGTTTTTTGACAGTGATATATAAATCATAACCGCTACTTTTTATTTTACAGTTCGGTTTCCAGTTGGAGTAAATATCCAGTAAAACTCTGCATATTTTATAAAAGGATAATGTGAAATAAATTAATGAGCATTGAATATTTTTGTCTTTATTCAGCAACTTTAAACACACTTTATGTACGAGTAGATGTATGATTTCACAAATACGGAATACAAAATATTTTTAGGTTACATTTCTCACAAACATGACGCATTGTTCCTGCGACAATATTTTATTGTTAACTAAAAATGTCAATATATAATAGAATACGGTTTTTTATCTTATGCAATATAATAAATATCTCCCTTAACATATTTTTAACATAAAAATAAAAAAATTAATGAATATTTTTATTATTTCATTATTTAAAATCAATCTGTCTGTTGAGCAAATATACATCATATCATATCTATGTAATATTACAATACCAGTGTGTTTTTAATTTTATTATGTTCATGAAGATATTTTTGCTTTTGTTTTCAAAAATTCATTTTAGATGAATACAAAAAACCAAGCTTGCATTTTAATAATGATCGATCGATCGATGTTAAAATTTAGTTTACCTAACTTTATATTACCTGCTAAAAAACTTATCAAACCTGAATAATAAATAAATGTATAAGTCCTACTCTTTTTCAGTTGACTATAAAAATAATATAAAATTTCAGAAATTTATACAAAACTTTAAACTGAAAAATAGTAATTTAAAAATGATAAGTCAAAAACACTTTTTTATTTTTTTTTTTAGACAAAGGATCACTACAATTTTGGCACCCAACTTTGTTCCGTAAAATTCTACAACGTGGTACGATTATGAGTGCTGTCCTTCACTTACACAGTAAGACTTCTAAGTTTGATGGCTTGATGTGAAATGCGTAGGCGGTAGCACTGTTCCCGCTGCACAGTTCATTTAGTTTTTTTTTTTAATTTAATAATCAGTCATTAGTGCAAACACCATAAATTATGTGTATTCCACACAAATTTTATGGTGAATCAAAATTGTTTAAAACAACACAAAGAAGTCTCACTACAAGTAGGTATATTATAACATGTAAGATTACACTTTTTTAATTTCAAGATATTTTAGCACTTATTATCACGTGTATTTTTATTGTACACATAACATTATGCTTAAATTATTACATATTATATACACATAATTGAATACAGTTTATTATTCAAACCCATTATTACCATTATTATACAAAGATATTTCTCAATTTTAGGGCCAGTTTTCATTTGCGCTTATTTAAAGGCACCTTTTAAAATATTTTGATAGTGATTAATTATTTTATACATGTATTTTTTATATTACAAAAAGTTGTTGTTCAAAATTTCTTATTATAAATAATATAAGTAAATATGACTTACAGGGGACTTATTTAAATAAAAGGTACTTAAATTTACACTTTCAAAATACATATACATACAAAGTACAAACTCAAAAAAACTACTGCCTAATTTTCCCGTGGCTCACAATTTTATATACCTACTAAGCACACTACTAAGAAATAAAACACAAACTAAACTACTTTTCATGAGAAACAACAAAGTATCTTGTAAACAAATAACGTAATTTAAAAACGCAAAACTAAATTAACAGCCTACAAACGTCCCACTGCTGGCCACAGGCCTTTTCTTATTTCTTATTGGATGTTGGGGTAGGAAAACGTTCCTCACCTGCAAAGACTCTTGAACGAAGCATGGAAAACGTTTGACTTCGTGCTACACTGACAAAAAGAAAAGAAAAATGGTACTATAATCATTTATATATATATATATATATATATATATATATATATATATATATATATATATATATATATATATATATAATATATATATATATATATAATTAGAGATGAGACCGAATATTCGTTTCATAATCGGTATTCGGCCTAATATTCGGCTAAATCACCGAACATTCGTTAAAGTAGTACTCAAAGAGTCCACTGTATTGAAATGTACGACTTGAGTAATGCCACGTCTTTCATAATTTAACTGTTGAAAGTATATTTTATTTATGGGTTGTATCTACTTGTATAGCGTTATGTTTTTGAGGCACTGTAGATTTATTTCCAATTAAAGCAAATAAAATAAGTCCAAATCTCCTACCACTCATTTTTATCATATAATTATCAATTTACAAATCAGTTGCGCAACAGGTGTACATACAAGTGTTGACACATTTAACCTTTTGAGCGCCACCGTGTCCTGTACGCCAGAACGAAAAGTAAACAAAAATGCCTACGAAAAAATAGTGTTGCCAAGAGTTGATATATCGATAACACAAAATAACTTGATTTCGTTGCTTTTTATGCAATAAATGACTCTAATCTCATCTGGTATGTTTTATTTAATCTTGTGCTGTCTTCCACTATATATATATATATATATATATATATATATATATATATATATATATATATATATAATGTACTTTGTACATAAATAAAAAATAGACAATAACAATAAAATTGTAGTAAACCACAGCACTACTCTCTATCGTGATGACGTCACTGTCACCTAAGTTAAAAAAAAACATTCATTATTTGTAATTTTATACTATTAAAATAAAAATTCATCATCATCGACGCTTTCCAAAATTCGAATGTGTTCTGAGGAATTGTTCATGTTGCCCTGCACTACTTTTCCCGCTAATCACTTATGACGTCATCAGGGTGTCGTCTATCCTTGACCACGGCGCCTAGTGAACTGATTTCTTTTTATTCATTTAGCTAATTATAGTTTTATGTTCTAACCTTTTGTTTTATTCAAATATCAATAATAATAGAAAAAAATAACACGTTTGAGCTAAATTTTGGATAGTTTTCAAGAAATCTATGCCTCCCGCGTTCGACACATATTTCATATTTTTTGTGGGACGGGTTTTTGTCAACTATAGACGTTGCTGGCGCTCAGGGCCCGCAGGCGCTGGTAAAGTATAGGCGACTTGGGCGCTCAAAAGGTTAAACATTTGTTTAAAAACATGGCTGTAGTGTGGAACGATGAAACCGTTTTTAAATTAATAGAACTGTTTGAGAAAAAAACGAATATTATGGGATTGCTCGACAAAGGATTACAAAAATAAAATCACTTAATGTCTTGTCTTCTTAGCAAGTAATTCTTGACCCACAATCTTCTTTTTTCTAGAAATGGACTTACGCAAAAAAAATGTATGCACCACACAACAACACTATTTCCTCGGGCTATATGTTAAATTCTAACTATCAAATTTTAATGTATTCTTTTTTATAAATAGTATAAAAATATGATATATATATATTGTATATATATATATATATATATATATATATATATATATATATATATATATATATGTTGTGTGTGTGTGATGTATGTATGTATGTTTATAAATTGTGTACCTTTATAAGATAAAACTCTGGTTAGTATTGTAGCTCGATCTTCCCAGGACAGGGGTATTTACAGAGCAAGTGGTAAATAAAACAAGAATGACCTTCAATAAGTATTATACATAAACAAGTATAAAGTGTGTAATCATAATAAAGTATATGTTGAATCAAAAAATTATTATTCTATTTCAGCAGTAATACAAAACTTTCTAAGAACAACAACAGATTACTCAAGTATCTATCTATGTATATATAATATACTGATGTGCTAGAAAACTTTGTATGCGTAAAGATCACAAAATATAATTAAAAGTTACACAAAATATAATTGGTCCGAAAGCATTTAGGATGAGATAGTACAAAAATAGTTATTTAAAGATTTTAAAGATATGTACCATACATGTAGGTATACAATATGATAAAGAATTTTTATACAGTGTGCGGAGTAGAAATTAAAAGATTTTTTTAAAACGACACAATAATTGTATAAATAAGGTTACATTTTTGTATTTATGTAATAATTTTATTGATATAATTAATTATCAGAAAATATATTAGCTGCTTAAATCATGTTGGATTCATACAAATCATTCAAAATTTCTAATTAAACGTAGTCTAATTAGACATAAAAAGGCGCTAGATCAAACAAGAAATACAAAGTTGGTTGTTGTTATGTTGCGGATTTTAAAATTAATTTCCGCACCAGTGGTTTTATTATAATATGTTTCAAATAGCTTGTTTATTCTTATACTTTTTGTAGCTAATCAGCTATGACGCTATGAGATATTGAAAAATTTCATTAAAATAGCTATATTTTAATGAATATATTGCATATTACACACCACAGTTTCATAGATTGCAGTCACTTCAAATTATATAAATAACAATTTGTATTGTGTTTGTTACTGAGAAAGGAAATTCACACAACGCCTGCACTACATATTATCATCTATATAGGTGAAATTTACTAAAAATAATAATAGTTTCTTCGCGATTATTTACTTACGAGAACAAAGTACCGAATAATGTTTTTTTTATATTAATTTAGTTTCAAGCTTCTAAAAGCTAACCAGAATCATTGTTGTTTATGATGTTTGTTTGTTACTATTGAAAAGCTATTTGATAAGCATCATAACCTCATAAGGATTTAAACAAGATTATAGATATTATAATTGGCTATCGGCGTTTTAAAATCCTGTCTTTTAAAACTTTTTCTGAACTATAAAATAAAATATTTTAAAACATAATTTGAAATGTGCAGTGGCATACCGAAATAAAATGCATCCCTTTGTAAAACCTCCATAAATAAACTTTTGATCTAGCGACTTTTGAACAAGATGTTTAGAAGGAAGCCTCCAAAATCTTAACAAATTCACAAATTGAAAATTTCTCTCGATATTTTATTATATTAATTATTTTTTTGGTTGTTTTTATAGTTGTTACTTTAAAAAAAAACCTATTAATTTTGCGACTATTTTAAAGTTATTATAGAACATATGCCACTAAATATGGACAAATCTACAATTTTCATTGAAGATTTCCAAGTTGTAAGCATTATTGTGATAACGAATTTTATTGTAATCAGTGTTTCAAGACAAACTATTAAAATTTTTAATATTTCAGACATAATTTTAGCATCTAGATTTTAAGATTATTTCATTATTAAATAATCAACATATCTATTTGGATCTATCTAAAATTCTGAAAATATCTAAAAATCTATCTTTAAAAATAACACAACGAAAAATAGATTATTATGCAAATGGTAGTGAAAATAAACTAGATTAGGTAACATTATGCATTTAGTTCATATGTTATTAGTTTATGGCCAGATTTTGAAAAACTGATCAAACTCAGATTTTAAATCAAATTTAATCAAAAAGTTGGCTATGGGTACTTTTCACGTTGTGTTTATACTATCTATACAAATAAATAAAATGGAAATGTCTGTTTGTAATGTCAAAATAAGCTTTTAACTAAATGCATATGAAAGTATATACGGAACTTATCACCACAAAAAAATTTCTGTCTGTCTGTCTTTATGTCTGTTTTGTGATTTTGACGGGACTTCCACTTGCAGATAGCCGATGTTATAAGTAGTAACTTAGGCTACATTTATATTAGAAAAAGAATTAGGGTTCCGCGCAAAAAAAATAATAACCATGAAATTCGATCGTAATAAATTCCACGCGGGCGAATTTGCGAGAAACAGATAGTAATATATAATAACTGTTACACCATGTACTCATTCCTTTTCTTTATGTTACTTTCCCTTTTTTATTAGGCTTAAACAGGTAGTTACAAATTAAAACTAAGGAGAAACAACAAGGTTCTCTTGGTAATTTAAATGAGGTAATTATTTCCGCTTATCTTCATGGACCCACCAATGGAAGACAATTATGTTATGGACATACTACTTCTTCATAAGTGTTCAGAAAATATTATTGATACGAGACGGACGTAATAAATTAAAAATATCGATAGTCGCATATATTCCATTATTCAACATGTATTTGCGGTTTTATTTTTATATCACTAAATTAATATGACATACATGATGAATACATATAAATTATTAATCTACTTTTGTTTACAAAATTTACTCCCCAGTTTATTTTTGTTGGCGGTCCTTGAAAATTTTTATTTTTTCATTATATCGTGTATGTAATATTTTGAACCTTTTAATGATAATAATATATTTTGCATGTTGCATAGATCACAGTGCAATTTATGTAAATCTTTTAAATTAAAAGCCCATTTTTCATAGTTTAAAAGACATTAAAGTTTAATGAACTAAAAAGATGTGAAAGTAAATACACATCTATGAGTGAATCCAACGAGGTACATAATTCGTAGACGGAAGGAGCCGTTACGAGGACAAACCGATTATTGCTCACGTATAATATTAAGTAGTGTGACAATGTGTTTTAAAGAATATTATTAGACATAATGCTAATACTAAATATAATTAATAATAAACAGCATTTAATTGTTTTTATTCAAATTCAACTGATACTAAATAGGTACAAAATATGTCATTCTCATCAAACTAGTGTGAAATAGTTACCATATCGTCACGTGGACGGCATAAGAAGCGACAAAGGGAAACAAATGAGATGGGCACCAGTGTCTTCCTAACAGTACGTTTGCACTAAGAAACATCCAACACGTAATGTTTTGAAACAAATCGCATAAAATAAATCACACAACATGTTTTGTTGATGGTGGCGTTCGCACTCACAAAAACTGTGTAAAATTTTCAACAGATATACCAACTTATCTTTCAACATAACAATATTTATACAAATTTGTTTTCAAACATTTTGTTCCTGTAGTTATAAAGATATATACATATTTCACTTCAACATGTTCTTTGACTATGCAAACGCTTTTTGATAAATTGACAGAAAACAGTGTTTAAAACATGTTTTTTGTGAAAATCGCGTCAGTGCAAACTCACGGTAATAACAACTAAAAAAAATGTGGTTGCCACATTGCCCCGTCTGCCAAGCGTGGCAACTATGACAAATATTCCCCTACGTGGCAATATATGGGGAGGCCTATATTCGGCAATGGACGTTTGATAGGCTGTAGAGGTAATCAAAGCTAGGGGAAAAAAAACCAAGAAAAGTACAAACAGAAGTTGACCATTTGTCTTTTTAACATTCCCTATCTAAACATACAAACAAGTAAATTAGTGCATGAAAGTCATTAACACACCAGTCTATTCAAAAAGAACAAGTTGACCTTGTGAAATGGTCTCTTCACTCTGATGTTATATGCTGTCGTAACTGTTCGGGTCGGGGGATGTCACAGGTCCAGTGCCTCTCGTAGGTAACTTGAAGCCATTTATCATAAATGCCCAACCATCCTGAAAAAGTAGAATACAGAAATAAAATACCACATGAATACATAACAGATGTCTAATAAAAATGTCTAATAGGAGATAATGCATAATAATCATCAAATTTGAAAAAAATCGAGGTAATGTAGCAATACTCGGAATAATTGTTTAGTTTTCTGATTCAATCTGGAGAACGCGTAGCTATTAGCAATTTGTATCAATTTTTATTATAATATTTTAAATCATTGATATCGAAAACTAATTATTATTATTTCTTTTTACTATTTTAAATTTAACCGCATATCAGAAGCAGATATGCTTACCGAGCAAGAGATAGTCAAACTTGACATTTTTAAATTAATCTAGAATAACTTAGTACAGAATTCTTCGAGGTGGAGCCATGGTGCAGCTATATTACAATTGTAGTATGAATAGGTCTGTTCGATCGAGAAGGCCCATGCTCTCACAGAATACCAGCGTGAAATACTGCTATTTCATATAGAGAACAGCAGACCCTTTTACTGGAAACTAGGCATTCCATCCAAGTTCTCGGGGGTAAAAATGCATCTGTATTCTGCATTAATCTTTTGAGCGCCACGCCACAAACGCAATTCCCGTGTCCTGTACGCCAAAGCTTAAAGTAAACAAAAATAGCTACGAAAAAAATGATGTTGCCAAGAGTTGATATATTGGTAACCATACAGTAACTTGTTTTTGCTGGTTTTTTATGCAATTAATGACTACTTAAAATCTGGGATTTTTTATTTAATCTTGTGCTATCTCCCACTCTTTGTATATATGTACTTAGTACATGAATAAAAAATAAACATTACAATTAAAATAGTAGTAAACCACAACACTACTCCCCATCGTGATGACGTCACTGTCACACCTGGACGAAAACGGCTTAGCCGACCTTCCTTTTTGAAACTTCCTTAGAGATGTAGATGTGTCGCAAGTTGTGTATCGATTTCGAAATTTTATGAGATCATATTTTTAACGGGGCTTCTACGGTTCCTACGATGCCGTGAATTAGTCCAGCCACGGCCACTGTGGCTCGCACAGGTGAATGCTGTTTGCTACAGCGGGCTACTATACCTAGGCTGCACTAAAAGTATCGGGAATGGAATATTTCCACTATTCCTGTCATATTAAAATCTTTTTAATTGAAAACTCCTTGGTTTTAAAAATCGAATACCATTTATTTATTTAAAAAAAGATTCTCGGTCTTGTCACAAGCTTTTGTCAAACTTGTTTAGTCGTTGAGAAAATGGAATTGACTCGAGAAAATTCAAGAGCGATGATTTATTATGACTTTCGAAGTGGTTTAACACAAAAACAGTGTGTTGACCGGATAATTTCTGCATTTGATGATGAAGCCCCATCCAAAACCACAATTTATCGCTGGTTTGCTGAATTTCAACGTGGACGGGTCAAGCTCAGTGATGACCCCCGTCAAGATCATCCAAAAGCTGCAATTACCCAAGAAAACGATGATGCTGTGCGTAAGCTGATTGAGGAAGATCGACATGTGACATACCGAGAAATTCAGGCAACTTTAGACATTGGCATGAGTCAAATACAAATAATCTTGCATGAACAATTAGGTGTAAAAAAGTTGTTTTCCCGATGGATACCGCATTCGCTCTGTGAAGAGCAATAAGCGGCTCGCGTTACTTGGTGCGTCAGAACTCTCGAAAGATTCCACGCAGGATCCTCAAATGCTGTATACAACATCGTATCAGGTGACGAATCCTGGATATACGCGTACGAACCCGAAAAAAAAACTAGTCACGAGTTTGGGTGAGTTAAAGCCAACAAAAATTGTTCGTTCACGGAGTGTTGCAAAAAAAATGGTTGCCACGTTTGTCTCCAAAACCGGCCATGTTACGACTATTCCTTTTGAGGGACAAAGAACGATTAATGCAGAATGGTATGCTAGCATTTGTTTGCCACAAGTCGTTTCTGAACTCCGTAAAGAGAACTGCAACCGCCACATCATCCTCCATCACGACAATGCGAGTTATCACACCGCACACAGAACAAAAGAGTTTTTAGAGCAAGAAAACACAGAATTATTAGACCATCCGCCGTACAGCCCCGACCTAAGCCCTAATGATTTCTATACTTTCCCTAAAATAAAGAATAAATTGCGTGGACAGAGATTTTCATCACCTGAAGAAGCTGTGGACGCCTACAAAACGGCCATTTTGGAGACCCCAACTTCCGAATGGAATGGTTGCTTCAATGATTGGTTCCATCGTATGGAAAAATGTGTCAAATTTCGCGGAGAATACTTCGAAAAGCAATAAATACATTTTTAAATAGTAATGTTGTGTTACTTCCTTGATTCCCGAAATTTTCAGTGCCGCCCTCGTACCTTCGCGCCTACGGTTTTATAAATACAAACATGACTACGTGGAGTCGGGGCGTGCTGATTCGGTTCAAGTATTCGATTTTTGAGTATTAATATCTCGGAAACTAAGTGAGACATCGAAAAATTTTATTCTTACTTTTCGGCGTACCTCGTCGAGATCTATGCGAATCCTTCAAATCGTAAAAACTCGTGCCTTTTTTTTCTTTTATACTTTGTGGCGGCGCTGTCGTCGCGCCACAAGCGAAAATACACCGAAGTCTAAATCACGCTATCAACATTCCGAATCAGAAACAGTATATATATAGAACACCTCCGAACTATCACAAGGAGTGTCGGCCGCTCCCCGGGCAGAACACCTTGCCCGGCGGGAGATCTCCCCTTTTCCTTCTACGGCCACAACTTAATTGAAACTGGCACTAAAAATAAATGAATACTTAATTATGTTCCTATTATGATTTCTAAGTGGCTATTATTCGTTAAAGATCCATTTTTTTATTTAGTTAGGTAACTCTTTTACGGCTATGCTGTATGACGCGAAAGTGTTAGTTACAACAAGTGGTAAAAATTATATATTATAAATATGTGTATTCTTTTTTATCACACCAATATGCTCTGCACCTGTCATCTTTGTGTAAGCATGTGCATTTATTGGTTTTCTGGAAGAAATCGGTTATCAGCCATAAGATCGCCCATTGCATACTTCTTTTGTATATATAATCTGTAATTTTCGTATGGTGTGCAATAAGGAATATGAATTAAAAAAATAAAATTTACTTTACGACCCACATGTCGGTCACCTCGTAAACCAGGTCCAGATATTTTGTTTGATTATCTGTTTCGGCTTTCACGAGGTTCTCGTCATACAAAATACAAAAATATCCTTGACTGTGCCCGGTCCATCAGCACAACATCAGGCTTATCCGCAAGAACAGTCCAGTCTGTGATGATGGCCGGGTCCCAGTAGAGCCTGGCACTATCATTTTCGAGCACAGCAAGTACTTGTTATACGGCAATTTCCGGTCCACAAGACCGTATTTCAGAGCGAACCTGTGAAGAATTGTGGCTACTAGTTTGTGCCTGTGCAAGTACTCGGAGTTAGAAAGCGCCGAACAACCGGAGATTTTACAAAACTTACCCTGTATAACTATTTATTTTCTTATTTACCATGTGATGGCGGTAAAGGAAATCCGTCACGTTATTTCAGGCTGTGGAAACTACAGGTACATTACATGCATATTAACTGTAGAAGTCTAACCCAGTGATACATTTTGACACTCTTAGGAACTTTTTATTACGAATTTAATTTTAAAATATAAAACACTTACTTTAACAAGATTTGGTAAATCTGACCAGAATCCTAAATTTGGTATCACTTCAATTCCCGTTGCACCCATCAAGAATTTCTTAGTACAAATTCCGAGGACGAGATAGAATATCACAACAGAAAAGAATGTTATCAACAATGTAGATCCAAATGATCGGCCTGGCTCTTCAATTTGCCGCAAGCAGGCTGATCTTGAATAAAATGACAGCACCTGAAATATAAACATGGAATGAAATTCAACCTAGTCTGGTTTATAGTTACCAGCAATTCAAGGACAAAGGGTGCAAGCCTAACATTTTACGGTACACAAACATTATTAGTTTCAATTGCAATTTTAAGTACTATTTACCACATACTTGGCTAGTACCGAACATAGGACATATGAAGGAAAGATAATTTTTTTAAGAAATAAAAGATATTCAATAAAAAACATCAAGAACATGTGAACCCATAAACGCACATTGAAGCTATCCATCCAAATTGCTGAACATAAATTTTACAGACTCATAATGGGGTACACTCATAGAATACTATAATACATTCAAATACCCGACCCCTAGAACAAGAAGTATTTTTGCGAAGACACTATAGTTACATTGCCCCGCATTTGTACAATAAGTTATACAAGGAATTTAAATTAAACTTAAATAATTACAGCAACCACCACATAAAGGCAAGGATCAGAGTGTGGTTAGAGAATCATGATTATGACAGCACGGAAGCACTTATGCCGTAGTTTTACCACAAGCAATACTCACACACATGTATTCCAAAGCACACACACACACCAACACACGAACACATACACACATGCGCACACACACACACACATACACACACACAAAACAAGCTCTTAAAATAACATTCTTTTTATTTCTTGTTTATATTTCTGTACTTGTTTAACTTACTAAATAACTAAATTATTATTATTATATAGAAATTGACCTTTTGACAAGGCTAACTTTAAGGGGAGGAACTGGTTCCTGAAACACAGTTACACTAGCTCAGGGACCAGGGAATCAATGAACATATGTAAAAAAGGTTGTTATTAAATAAATAAATAAATAAAAATACATAATAGAACGGGGAAGTGTGCGGAGCCCGCGTAGACACTAAAATGTCACTAACACGTGAATTCACATGTATAAATGTCAACACGAGATGTGTTTTGACGTTAAAATCGTTTCCAAATTTCGCATGCAAATTATTTAGAAAATGCCAAATAGCACGCTATTTACAAATAAATTTGTATTAAAATTTAAACGATTTTTTAATGATGATCTTGAACATTAATCAAAAGTCTAAAATGTGTAAATTTACTCAGTCTGTCAACACAGCGAATCAGGTTTGGCGACGCCAATTCTCGTATGAAATAAAGTTGACAGCCATTCTAATGTGTATTATAGTACTCTATGAGTACACTTAAGCAAACTAGTCCTTATGCATAATTTAAATATATTATAAAAAAGCCTTTGTCCAGCTGTTCAATGGGTTGCATTGGAGAAATAAATATATTCCTTATATACAAAAATAAACCGCTGTCTGTTAGTCTCGCTAAAGCTCAAAAACAGCTCGACCGATTTTGATGAAATTTTTTGTTTGTGTTTGAATCGGTCCTTGGGTGGTGTAGATTTACTATTGAACCCGGTAGGTGGTGCTGTTGTCGAGATCCAGAAATCACCCGTGCGAAGCTGGAGCGGATTGCTAGTCTTAAACAAATGTTACTACTATCAGTTGCAATGATTTTGATCGATTGATTGACACTTGACAACCTAGTGGGGCATACAGGAAATCATGTCTGGGACTTTAAAAATACTTCAAATAAATGTGAAGTCTGAAGAAGATATTTGAAATAGAACATAAATAACTAACATAGCCCAGCTGATCAGTAAATTGAAGTAGCAATTGGCTGGTCGTATAGCTTGAAGGGATAGACCGATAGGGAAGAAAGAGTTCTTATGTGGCAGCGCCATACCAGTAAGCGAAGTGTAAGGTGGCCCCCCAATAGATACAGTAACAACATGGTATGAGGTAGGTACAGAAAGTCGATGGGTGCAGGTGGCTCAGAAACTCTGAACTGTTTTGTTTTGTCGCATTCATTTTGTGACATCTACGTTCAGCAGTGGACTTATATTGGGCTGTAATGGTGATAATAATGATGATGTTTGTTATTATCTTTATAAAATTAAGTTAAATTTAACAACATAGAACATGTTTCCAAAATAACATTTAAATAATAGTTCACCATAACAGTATTAGAACAGGGTGACACAGAATTATATCAGCTTCCTTATCTAAATGTAACAATAAAGAGCGTCTGCAATATTACAAATTATATAAGCTATTATTTTTACATGATCCTTTGATATAGGCACTGTGAGGCCGCAGGTTCCAATCCCACACAGAACAAGTGCTCACATGATCTATAAATAATTCAAATCTAGAATAATTGGTTGTTTTAATTGTATTAGGTTTGGATGTTTATCCATGTGCAATTTTGTATATAAAATGCCTAGACAAATTCTTATTGTTAGTAACAATTAATTTAAAAACAGATATGTACATACAATTCTGTTTGGTTCAACCGTTGAATAAACATGAAGTTGATCATCTGTCTGTGCACAGACAAGGAGGACAACAGTTGATCTGAAATAAATAAAAAAACAACAATTTAAGATTTTTTATTAGTTCTTTATCAAAATATTAAATTCTTGACTAAAATATTAATTCTCATCTCTTAAAATCTACCGATCAGTGGCGATTGTACTGCCGATCAATGCATTCGCTTCATGATATGGCGGCTCTCATGCCAAACCTACAATATTTTCGCGGCTTAAGCATAGGTACCTACTGCATGAAAATAAAAACAATTCGAAATGACGCGTCAATCTAAACGCTCCTTTATTAGTTCTTTATCAAAATATTAAATTCTTGACTAAAATATTAATTCCCATCTCTTAAAATCTACCGATCAGTGGCGATTGTACTGCCGGTCAATGCATTCGCTTCATAACGATATGGCGGCTCTCATGCCAAACCTACAATATTTTCGCGGCTTAAGCATAGGTACCTACTGCATGAAAATAAAAACAATTCGAAATGACGCGTCAATCAAAACGCTCCTTTATTAGTTCGTTATCAAAATATTAAATTCTTGACTAAAATATTAAATTCTTGACTAAAATATTAATTTCCATCTCTTAAAATCTACCGATCAGTGGCGATTGTACTGCCGGTCAATCACTGACCTCTATATATACAAGTACGCTGGACTGGCTATACCATACAAAATGACTGTGCCAATTTGAAGCGCCGCTAAAGGATGTCTTGAAAAATAAAATTGACATAATATGCCAAAGTATGTTGTCTTATTCATATTGTCATATTTAATAAGTCTGTATTTTGAACTTTTAAACTAAAAAACGAAAGTATTTTATGTTGTTTGATTGTGTATAATATTAGTTACATAATAAGAATTATTTTAATAATAATGAGAGGGTGCGTAATCTGTAAAACTCGTTACCAAAAGGGAAATGGTGTAACATTTCACAAGTAAGTGAATTTGCAGTAAATATTAAACAAATTAAAACTATTTGATAATATAAGTACTTAGAAATTTGTTACTAATCTTAATATCATATATAAAAACATGTTTGGCTGTATATTACTGAGTTTTGATAAACAATAAAATTCAATAGGGTTGTCGAGTTCCGTGTCTATAATACTTATCGATGTTCTTTCCTACTCATATCTGTTAACAAACAAAGTCACCAACAACAGATGATTATCAAATATTTATTAATTAAAAGGTTTCCAACTGAACCTAGACTAAAATTATGGCTTAAAATCATAAATATTGTGAATTGGCGTCCGAAACAAAATGATCATATTTGTTCCAAACATTTCACAGACGACTGTTTTATTAGACATGAGAACTGCACCACTTTGAAAAAGTGCAGTATACCGACAATATTTTCTGGTAGTACCAGTACCAAGCACTACCAACTACCAAGTGCTATGTATTAGATTATTATTTCGAATGTTTTTTTTATTTCTTCTTTCCTCATTTTCCACCAAACTCAAGGGCCATAGCCAAGTGTCGAAAGGTCGCCTGATGATGTCGAACCACTTTCGATGTATGTTCGTGGGCTGCGGCTAGAGGAGATTTCTCTCCCTGTACCGCTGTAGTCGAGGTGGATTCGTAAGGGAAGAGGAGTGTTGGTATGGCGATTGGCGATGCGCCACTCGACTGTTTTTCGCGACTTTGGTGAGGCTGCACCACTTGATGCTTCCAAGTGCTCGTTTTTCCCTGGCTCCATTCACATATCGGGCTCGGTAATTGATAATTTCAGTTATTTTTTTAATATTGTAATTTTAATTTCGAAAATGTCGTTGTAAATAACTGATAACTATGTAATTCAAAGTTTATATTTTTTTATATTATCTTGCTAGCTCATACCCGGCCCATTGCTGCCGCAGAAGAATTAATTTTGGAAATATCGTTAAAAATGTGGAACAGTTATATTGTATAATTAGTAGGGCCCGGATTAATATGTAAATCCATATTTTTAATTGAAATGTTTTTTTGCTCTTGAATATATTTTCTACATAAATTATGATATTTTGATCAAGAAAATGCAATTTCTATTTTCCATATTTTTCCATATTTCAAGTATAAATCCATATTCCACAAGAAATTAAATAAATTTATCCATATCTTCATTATTTTATGTTAGATGGATGAGCAGCTCTGTGAAATGACTAAAAATGAGTTTTAGATGACGAAAATGCCAGCAAATCCTTTTTTATTGGCGTGTGTAGAACTTCTTTAATCTTTAATGCAACCACCAAACGTCAGTAAAGCTTTTTAATGATGCAATGAGAGTTTTGTGGCCTGATGGAGTTAAACATGACCAAGATTTCTTACTACTTATCGATGATACTCCTCGTATGGTAAAAGCTGTAGATTCCCTACAAGTTTTGTATCCAAAAATTATTCATATGAAGTGCTTCGCTCATGGTATAAATAGATTAGTTGAATGAATAAGGTCTCAGTTTAAAAAGGCTGACAGTTTAGTATGAAACGTAAAGAAAAAGTTTTTGAAAGCAACAAGCAGGATCTTAAAATTTAAAGAGATGTATCCCGACATTTCTTTACCGCTAGAGCCAGTGCTGAACCGCTGGGGAACTTGGTTGACAGCAAATGAATACTATGCCCAGTATTACACTGAAATCAAAATGATTATTTTTGAATTGGAGAATAAAGCTGCTGATATTTCAATCTCAAAAGAACTTCTCCACGATTACCCTAAGTAACTATTTGCTTTATATACATAAACAGTAATTATTGCTTTTTATCATACCATGTAAAGGCACTCGAAAATTCTTCCACTTCTCTGAATGATAATTTGATGATTATCGAAAATATCGAAAAAATTTTGAATCAGAAGGTCCCGTTGCTGAAGTAGCGAGGCAAAAATTACTCTACGTACTGAAAAAAAAACAAAGGATTTCATACCGGAACGGAACATTAGAAGCCACCATAGATGTGCCCTACTCACTTGCAGAATTATGCAAATATAAATATGCTCCAATCACATCCTATGATGTTGAAAAATCATTCAGCCAGAATAAAGCATTATTTCGTCCAAACAAAAAAGAGTTTTAATTTTGAAAATTTAAGGAAACACGTAATTATGTACTGTAGTTCAAATAATAATGAAACCTAAGCTAAGTAAAATTGTATTTTTTTTGGTTTTTCTTAATAGGAAACCGTTTTAATGTACAATGTCGTTATCTTTTATTACACATATTTTTTCCATATTTTAGGATTTTAAGTCCATATTATATGTACATATTTTGATATTATATATACATATTAATCCGGGCCCTAATAATTAGGAATGATAATACAATCATTGAAATAGAATGATATATAACTTTCTATAACTTTCAAATAAATAGTCAGTATAATACGCACGCCACCTAGTCTCAGTTAATTGTACCATGCGTGTAACCTTCGCACAAGTGCAACCAATAAGTTGACTAAGTTTTACCGCAATCTGATGAACGATATGGCATCGTAGAAAGTACGAACAAACATAAATTTTTATATACTTAGTAGAAAATATTTTACTGTCAATAGACAGACCTGTAGTTGATTAGAATAGGCGTTATTATAGCAGCTGATTTGTTTTTTATAATACTAAAACAAAATGAACGGTTGACAATAAATTATTCTAGAAATTATGTTTTTATTTTTATTTTGTAGTACAAAACTAATCCAACTGTAGAGATGTGTAAGACAGGGTGACGTAATATCTCCGAAATACTTTACCGCTGCATTGGAAAACGTTTTCAACCTACCGGACTGGAAAGATTACGGTATTAACGTCAATGTCGTGAACGTCACTCCCCTTCGATTTGCCGACAATATAGTCCTTATGACATAATCGCTGGAGGACCTACGCATTATGTTCAATGACCTCAATAGTGTCTCCCAACGGATAGGTCTCTTAAGATGAACATGGACAAAACATAAGTCATGTGTAATGTCCATGTCACACCTATGGCGGTGGTTTTTGGGAGCACTTAGCTGAAGTTGTTGATGAGAATTTTTATTGGGACAAATAGTCCGACTAGGTAGGTCCGTCGATTGACCTGTCGTGATCTGACATTCAACTTGGCTGGGCAGCGTTCGGTTGATTACAACACATCTTCTCGTCAGGAATACCTCAAAACTAGATTGTACAACCAATGTGTGTTGCCAGTGATGAAATATGGATCCGAGACGAGGTCTTTCATGACTGCTGGCCGTATGAGGAAGCTCGAAGTCGCTCAACGAGCTATAAAGAGGGCTATGCTCAGGGGTTCAAACTTAGGAATGAGGATATCTGCAGCAGAACCAGAGTGACCGACATCGTCTAATGGATTAGTAAGCTGAAGCGGCATTTGACCGGTCATATAGCTCGCGGAACCGAATACCGATGGGGAAAAAAGGTTCTCGAGTGGCAGCCTCGTACTGGCAGGTGAAGTGTAGGACGTTCCCCCACTAGATGGAGTCAAAACCTGGTAAGACATGCAGGAAGTCAATGGATGCAGGTAGCTCAGGTCCGTGCTTTGTGGCATTCCTTGGGGAAGGCCTATGTTCAGCAGTGGATTTGTGAAGGGTTTTAATGATGAGAATGATAATGGTATTATATTAATATGATACATAAATAGAATGGACGTTACGGGTAGAGTCCATCTATCCATAGAGTCCATTCTATTTATTTAGGTATAGGTAGGGTATAGAATTTTTATCGATATAATTTGGTACACTGTCTTATCCCTAGTATTAGTTCCGTGGACGTGCACTTCTGCTGTCAGCGCCAAAATGGCGGAAATCAAATCGCTTCACCATGTCACGGTGTATAGCCAGTCCAGCGTACTTGTATATATAGAGGTCAGTGCGGTCAATGCATTCGCTTCATAATGATATGGCGGCTCTCATGCCAAACCTACAATGTTTTCGCGGCTTAAGCATAGGTACCTACTGCATGAAAATAAAAACAATTCGAAATGACGCGTCAATCTAAACGCTCCTTTATTAGTTCTTTATCAAAATATTAAATTCTTGACTAAAATATTAATTCCCATCTCTTAAA